CGCGGGCCCGCCCCTGGGCGCATGAGTGGCTCCACCCCCGGGTGCCCGGCGCGTGAGTGGCCCCGCCCCCAGGTGCCCGGGAGCCTCTAAAGGTTGGGGACCACTGGCTTATACCCTTCCATGACAGCGAGTCATCTCACCAAGTCTCTGTTGTTCCAATCCCCTTGTAGCTCTTTGACTGTGCCAGGGCTTCTAATTCTTCCTGCTTGTTCCCCAGGCTTCTTGCATTTGTGTACAGACTCCTTCGTTAATGAGCTGATTGCCCCACATTCTTCTCCATACCAATCAGGGGGTGTCCTCTGTTGCACCTTCCTCCCCGTGATCTTTCCTGGTATCCCACTTCCCCCCTTGCCTCAGGGCTTTGGTCACTGTCCCCCAACGAACCTAGATCAAAGCCTCCTTACTAGGTTTGCATGCCCGCACACATGCTTCTCCCTCTCTTAGGTGGATCCCATCTCTTCCTAGCAATCCTTGAACAGCATCCCATGGTCGAAGATACCAAAGCTCTGTCTCCGACACCAACTGTGCATTTACTCCACGATTTGACGATCCCTGTCTGGACCTTTTCCTTCAACAGGGGGGATGGACAAGAATACCACTTGCTCCTCAAACTCCTTGATCCTCCTTCCCAGCGCTGTATAATCTGCAGTGACCCGCTTAAGGTCATTCTTGGCCATATCGTTAGTTTCTACATCGAGAAATAGAAAGAGGTAGAGGTCCAAAGGTTTGATCAGTCTCTGAAGACACTCGGTCACATCCTGAATTCTAGCTCCTGGTAAGCAGCACACTTTGAGATTCCCGGTATGGACGGCAGATGGATGACTCCGTCCCTCTTAGGATTCAGTCATCTTTTTGATAGAATAAGCATCAGACCCGTGTCTAAATGTTGTCTGCAGCCTCCAGCTGTAGCCGAATTATGGCTTTGTTTTGGGTCACTAGACAACATGTTGGCTCACCGGGGCTCTGAATTTGTACTAGTTTTTGCTGCACTCCAGGCATGAGCAGTAAGATCATACACCAGCTTTTCTACTAGCATCAAGCCGGTTTCTGTAGATTGAATGTTCTGTGATGTGGATTCACAGATGCCAGGGACAAAAGGGGCCATTGTGGTCTAGTCTGATCTCCGGTAGAGCACGGGCCTGGGAGCTGCCCCAGAATGAGAGCATGTCTTTTGGAACAAGATGCACGCTTGACTTAAAACTTGTCTGATGGAGAATCCATCACAACCCTGGTTTAATTGTTCCAGTGGTTTATTGCTCACGGTTATCAATGTATGCGTTACTTCCAGTCTGAATTTGGCTGGCTTGAACTTCCAGTTATTGCTGTTCGACAGGATAACATAAGAATGGCCAGACTGGGTCAGACCAAAGGTCCATCTCGCCCAGTGTCCTGTCTGCCCACAGTGGCCAATGCCAGGGGCCCCAGAAGGAGGAAACACAACAGGTAATCCTCACATGATCCCTCTCCTGTCATCCATTTCCAGACAAACAGAGTCCAGGGACACCATTTCTGCCCATCCTGGCTAATAGCCACTGATGGACCTAACCGCCATGAATGTATCTAGCTCTTTTTGAGCCCTGTTAAAAGTCCTGACCTTCACAACATCCTCTGGCAAGGAGTTCCACAGGTTGACTATGTGCTGTATGAAGAAAAACTTCCTTTTGTTTGTTTTAAACCTGTTGCCTATTCATTACATTTGGTGACCCCCTACTTCTTATATTAGGGGAACAAGTAAATAACTTTTTCTTATTTACTTTCTCCACACCAGTCATAATTTTATAGATCTCTATCATATCCCCCCTTAATCTCCTCTTTTCTAAGATGAAAAGTCCAAATCTCAGACCTGTTCCAAACCCCTAATCATTTTTGTTGCCCTTTTCTGAACCTTTCTCTGCCAGATTGAAGAGCCTATTATTAAATCTTTGCCCCCCCCTGTAGATACGTGGCAGACTATCAAGTCACTCCTTAATCTGCTCTTTAAGTTAAATAGAAAACCTGCAAGGGGCTCTGTATAAGCCTTTAATCATTCAGTAGATTCATGCAAGGTCATTTTAACGGGCACCGTGAAGACAGTCTCAATTAAAGGTTCAGTTTACTGGCTGCAAGCATAGTGATGTAGGGTTAGAGCAAGCCACTGTGGGAGTCTACGAGAGCTGGTGACTTGCAGTGACTATCGGAAGGTTGTTTAATCTGTTTGGTTTAGTTTCCATATCATTAACTCAGGGTAAAACCTTGTGTTGGAGAGGCTGTTCTAATGAGAAGTGTTTAGAGCAGAGGTCTAACACGCAGAGACCTCTTGAGACGTAGTCTCACTTGTTTTAAATGAAATCGACAGTGTCAGATACACTGTGTTTACTGCTTGCGGATCAGCGTTGGACGTGCCATGGGAGTGCTTGGCGCACACGCTGCAGTTGCAGCTGTCGCCCGAGTGGCTGTTGGATTTTAGGGATCCAGTGTTGGGATCGGGGAGGAGAGAAAAGCAGCCTAGCTTCTTGGCACTGGGAAGGCAGTTGGGGAAGGAAAGGTGTTTCCTTTCTCCCCCTGCTTTGGGGCAAGAGGGGTGAGGCTGGGTTTCCATTGGGTGGGGTGTGGGAGCAGTCCTTATTCTCTACCTCTGCCACCTTGACGTAGTGATCTCCACTGCAGACCACCCAGCACTAGGCGCACGTATGTTAGCTTAACGACTCTGCTTCAGCTATCAAGTGAAGTTTAAAGCATCAGCCTCCGTGTTAATCACGTTGAGGTGCGTAGGAGCAGTTCATTCATCTGGGCTTTATTTTCAACCTTGCTGCAGACCCCTGCGTCAGCTTGGACTCTCTTTGCATCTTGGAGGCTGTCTTTGTGACCGTGAACATAGCCACCGAATCCCATGCCGTGTGGGGTCAGTCTGGGCCCCCATGGTGCAACATGAATTGTGCGTGGTGGTACTGGGGAAGCAGAATGCAAGTCTGTTCTCCTTCAGTGCAAATCATTAACTGTCAAGGAGCTAAGGGCTTGAAGAAGCAGCACTGAAAATACAGAGCAATTCACCATATCCGAGATGCGCAGACAAACTTTGACTTAAGGTCGCTATGCATCCTGCTTAACTTGAACAGACCAGCCTGCCGGTTTTGTGCTGACTCTCTCCTGTTCACTTCTCTTTAAATCTTACAGGTTCTCAGTAAACAAAAGGATATTTATAGTTGGGTTTGGACTGTACGGATCAATACATGGGCCGACAGACTACCAAGTCAATATACAGGTATTAAACCACTTCTCTCCTCTGCCAGATGTGCCCGATATTTGCTGCCGTACAAACCTTGCCGGCAGTGCTCAGTGAAACACACCACCCTCTTCAGCTGCCCTTAATGCCTTTCTATACAAAGGCACGTTCGTGTTTTATGGGAATACGGGTCAAGCTGAGCAGGGTGACTACTGGGGAACTCCAGTACTTGGAGGGATATTTTGTTTGTTCTGTTAAGGCGTTTAAAATGCTTCCATCCTTGTGTTCTCAGTGCTGCTGTGTTGGGCATTTAGTACTCACGAAACCATCCAATCTGACAGCACTGGGGCAGACGTTCGCACTCAACCTTGGTGTTCTCTGCTTCCCCCTGTGGTAGCGGCCTCAGGGCCCATGTGGCCTGGTCCTGGAGCGCGTAGCTGCCGTCCAAGTACGGTCAGACAGGAGTCCCTGCCCCAAAGCTAAGATTCAGGGAGCGGGTGTCACTGCCCAAGGGATGGAAGGTAGCAAACGTTCACACAGGCTGGTCCTGCCAGTGATCGCAGGCGTCATCCTGCTCCTGATGGGCATGCACCCTGTGTGCGGTGGTTGCCAAGCAGCACCTGTCCCGGTCGCAATGCAGGCTGAGGGCCCCCGGCTCCAGAGCGCCTCGGTTCCTGCTTGCCACGTGGGGTGCCCCGGGGGTGGCTTGGCTTGCCTGAGTGAGGCTCTGTGTCCACGCAGGTGAATTCCAGGCCGCAGCGTGTGGACGTTGTTGCGCTCAGTCCCCAGTTGAGTTTTCTCTCGTTATTCTGGATCACTGGGCGTCCAGCTCGCTTGCACCACTGACTCCTGCTCCGAGGCAGCTGCTGTCGGGTCTGGGGGAGCAACTTCTCTGCCTGGGGCATATCCCGAGAGCGTCCCAGCCCTGGCTGCGGGCTGCGTTTGGACACTGAGAGAGCAGCTGAGGCTTTTGGTGTCCCTTGGTATGGGGAGCTGCGGGGCCCTTGCTGAGAGCCGTCAATGTCAGTGCAGCTGTGTCCACGCCTGCTTCCTTGGACCTGTCACTGTCATCTGTGGGGAAGCCTGCAGCGTTGGCCCCGTGTCCATCTTGGGCTCGGTGCTGGGCTTCATGAGTCGCCTTCCGAGTAGAGATGGGCTCCTCGGTGTTGGGGCCAGCCGCGCTGCTCTCCTGCAGGGCGCTGTTACTATCTAGGGAACTGTCCACGGGCATGCTGCCAGTGTGCGGCCAGAGAGTCCTTAGCTGCCCACCCAACCCCTGTCCAGCGGCCCCTTGAGAGCTCGGAGATACTCCCAACACCCAGGCCAGAACCAGCCCGTGTGACACAGGCAGAGACTCAGCACCAGCGAAGGAAGCGTTTGCCTTGTGGAGAGCACAGTCCGCAGTAGGGCCCGAAGCAGGAATACCCCCACCCAAATCCGCTGTCAAGTTGCAGTGTAAAGGGAGAGGCCTCAGATTGCTGGGATCCAAACCTTGAGACTGCGTAGACCCGAATCAGTGTCTGAATTGGACCTAGCAGTCCAGTGCGGCCTAGGTAGCGCCTCCATAGATTCAGCTGCCTCCCCGAGTCTCTGAGCCCAGTGACTGATTGGTTCTTTTCTCACTGCGAGGCCTGGCAAAGCTTGTCAGTGCCCTTGGCCCTGCCCACGAGTTCACGCTCATTCGATAACCACGAGCTTGGCCCCTGAGATCGTGGCGTGGGAAAGGCATTCGGGGTGCTCCTGCCTGCCAGGCAGCGGTGCAGGGAAACTCCCCTTCGGAATCTTTGCCCTGTGTCTCCCTGGACTGACTCTGCTGACGTGCTTAGCAAAGCGCAACTGAAGTGCAAAGAGTCTGAGTGGTGGCGCTGGCAGACTTAACGCAGCCGAGAGGAAGCTGCCCGATCCCTGTTCCCCAGGCCAGCAAGGTGTTTAGCCACTAGCAGGCCCAACGTGCAGTCTAGAGAGGAGTCACAAAATGAACCCACTCTTTTCACTAGGCCGATTACAGGGCTGTTTACTTTCTCACCCTTCCTCCAGATCATCCACACGGACAGCAACACAGTACTGGGTCAAAACGACACCGGGTTCAGCTGCGATGGGTCCTCCAGCACTTTCCGGGTCATGTTTAAAGAGCCCGTCGAGATTCTACCCAACGTCAGCTACACGGCGTGTGCGACACTAAAGGTACCATCGTGGGGCTCGGCCGTCGGGATGCCCGGGGAGGGAGAAGGAACGGGATTGCTGGTCTCGGGGAGGTAGTGCTGCTCCTGCTTGGAGACCGCCAGGGGATCTGAAATTGCACATGTATTTGTTCCCCAATAAGCATGTGGCCCTTCGGGGGTTAACGTTCAGGGAGCTGGTTTTGGTTGGTAAATGTTTACTAGACAAGCTGATGGGGCTGCCGGCATAGGTAGCCTGGGCTTTGCGAATCTGTTGCTAGTTGGTCACTTGCTCACCAGAGCAAGCAGTGTGGGTGTGCAGCTGCTCCGGACGGATAATGGCGTTAGATGGGTTAAATGATGCACCGATGGCCCCATGCTGGAGTTCAAACACGCAGCAGGTTTTGGAGTGGGAATGGGACCTTCATGCTGCCCTAGAGCTCGTGAAGGACTTGTTAAAACTCTTCAGTTACCTGCTTGTAGCCGTAAAGTCCTAAGAAGGAAGCTCTTGCTGTGTGTGTCCAGCACCAAGCGTGGGGGGTTGGAAAATGGTTGCATGCAAAGTCTTTATTGCCTGAGTGCTAGGAATACTTGGATGCAACTAGCGCTCAATCCGAGATCCCTCTTTTTGTGTGGGGCTGTCTTTGTGTGCGTCCATATTGCAGACCCCGGGGGTGTCGCTGGGCTTACGCTAGAGCAGTGGGGATGCTGCAATGTAAATCTAGCCATGCAGCCATGGCCCAATGGACTTCAGACAAGACACGTTCAGTGTGGTTATAATGGGCCAGTAGCCGGGTGGGTGATGAAAAATCGGGTATTGCCCGACATGATTTGACAGGGGGACGTTGACCAGTGACTGACTTCTAGTACGGGCAGCGCGGCTCTCGGAGGAGATCTCGTCCACACGAGAATACCGGGGTCATGCACATTTCTTACGCCACTTGACCTGTGACCCCGGTTCTGAGCAACATTCCACAGAATGGTCTTGCTCTGTGTCTGCTTCCGAGTTCTCTTCAGCCGAGCCGCGGTTTCCTCGCCCTGTCTGGGAAGCCCATGGGGAGGCAGAGGAGGGAGTGACGAGACTTCCCATAGAGGAGCGGGGAGACAATCAAGGCTGTCGGGAGAGCTGCATGCGATGAACGGGAAGGAAGGCGGAGAGAGAGGGGTGGGGTTGGGAGCAGAGTGCTAGTGACTAAAATGAGCACCAGGAGCTCTCCAGTGTGTGGAGGTCTGTGCCTGGCTGCTTTGAGCCGTCCCCTTTGAAAACGATCCCAGCAAGGGAGTGTGAAACCCTTGGGCTGCAGAAAACAGCCGCTTGCGGGGGGGAGGGTTAAAATCCTTGAGATTTAGTAGCTGGGAGCTGCCGAACGTCCTGAGATGCTGAAGATCCAGAGTTGTCGGGATGCTCGTTGCTGGGTTTGTCACTCAGCACTGCGACCGCGCCGCTTTAAAACCCTGGTTGCGCTTGGACTGGCTCGTTCCCGACCTTCCTAACTGGCTCCCCCGTTTTCTGTTACGAACGCAGGGTCCAGATTCTCACTATGGAACCAAAGGGCTGCGCAAAGTGATCCATGAATCGCCAACAACGGGAGCCAAAACTTGCTTCACTTTCTGCTACGCGGCCGGCAATAACAACGGCACGTCGGTGGAGGACGGACAGATCCCAGAGATTATCTTCTACACATAGTGCAGCTGTTGGAGTCAGCTGAGCCGATGAACTTTTGTCCCCCGCTCCCTCCCGTGCCCTTCCCAAGGAAGTTTCTGGCTGAGTTGAGCCAGGCCAGGGGAGCCGCTCTAGCCAAAGGTCTCAGTAAAGTCGTTTGAAAGCCCATGTTTTGCCGTGTGCTAGTGATGCTGCTGCTGCTGCTACCACCACCTCATACAGACTAGCTGGGTTTCCGGTATCATTGTAGGTTGCCTGTGGCTAGTAACTCTCCACTCTCCCGATAGTCCCATCCGCTGTCCTGGGTTTTATTGTAACATATGTCGATGCTTTTCCATCAGTTAGAAGCCTGGAACCAAGTGGCTCCACTAGGTGACAATCCTGGAGGGAAAGAAAACAAAATAATCCCAGGGTCGTGTTGACTTTTTTCTTCGTCCTCTGCCCTTCGTGGTGCTGGGATGAGGCTTTGCCGGGCTGATTCTGCAGTACGGCCAAAGCGGCGGGGTTTCCCTGCGAGGTTTAACCAGAGCCTGCCTGCCTGCCTGCCGTGCTGGACGTACCTTTGCAGGTTCCAGAAGATCAAGGGAAGGGCGTGTTCCTGATCCAGCGCTACAGCCCTCCAGCCGGCCTCTCAGCTGAAGGGAGCAGCTCTGCAGAGACCCACCCGCGCTTGCGGTCTGCTTTTGGCTAATTTGAGACAATCCTTTAGAGGGACAGTGAGTGCGAAGCAGCGGAACTCCCCTGGGGCCAGGCCCTGTCTGGAGCCGAGCGCCTTGGCCCCCACAGGCAAGCTCCCTGCTCGGTCCTGGGGGGCTTTTGCAACGTTTTCCGTGTCACACTTACACAGACGGGGGCTGGTCCAGCCAGGCTGCGCTGGGCTTAGCCGCAGGGACTCTGCGCTGGGAGCCGCCAGGCTCCGTGAATTTCTGCTGCTTGGGGGGGGCCCAGCGCTTGAGCTCGGTTGCTTCTACCTCACAACGTGCCTCAGCTGGCGCCCGTGTTCTGAAGCGTGTTGCTCCTGCTCTTCTGCGTTCTGGTTTCCTTTGCCTCTCCAGCCGTCGGAGCCCCCTGCAAAAGGGGAAGGGGTTTGGTGTCCATGTGCCGCCACTTAAGGATCAGCAGAAGGGGAGGGGTGGATGAAGCAATCTAGAAAACCACTGACACTTTCCTGCTTGTCCATGTCCATTCACCTGTCCCGCCCTCTGAAGCGTGTTGCTCCTGCTCTTCTGCGTTCTGGTTTCCTTTGCCTCTCCAGCCGTCGGAGCCCCCTGCAAAAGGGGAAGGGGTTTGGTGTCCATGTGCCGCCACTTAAGGATCAGCAGAAGGGGAGGGGTGGATGAAGCAATCTAGAAAACCACTGACACTTTCCTGCTTGTCCATGTCCATTCACCTGTCCCGCCCAGCTGGAGCCCTGGCGCTGGCTGTCTGGACGGACATTCTGGTGGTGCAGCGCTTCCTGGACTCCGAGCTGCCGACTTTGATGGGGCGGTTTCATGGCAACCCCCTCCCCCTCGGTTCACAGCAGGTTGCCTTTCACCATAATCACGTGATTTCAGCTCAGCATGACGTGTTGCCGTGATGGGAAGTAGCCGTGTGACTCTGTAACTGCCTGAATGGTCCCACCCTTGCCTTGACTAGCAGAGACTGGGGGGGGGAGGGGAAGAGTTTACTTCCCGCACTCTGCAGAGGAGGGTGCTTGAAATCAAGGCGGCCCTGTCAACGGAGGTGGCCAGGCCATTCAGCAGTGCGTGGGAATTGCTTAGTGCATGGTGGTGTCGTCTCTGATAAGTTGAGGTTCATTAAAAAGCCATTTGTGTGTCGCTCCAGTGCCGGGGCTTCCCTCGCTACATTTGTGATAGCAGCCTCCCTCTTCACAGCTCTGCTGGGGCGGGTGACTTGGTGCCTGTTACCTGCTGGGAATGGTATCCCAGCCTTACCCCACCTCCTGCCCTGGGCTGCCAGTGACCGGATCTGTGGCTGGCTGGATAACTCCACCAGCCAGACGGCAACACACGTCACCTAGAAATAATCCGCGTAGCTGTTGGATACTGGTGCCCGTGTGCTGCCTGCCTGAGGAGGAGGGTGAGAGATGTTGTTAGCCTGCTTCTGGGTAGGAAGTTTTTCAAATATGGCCAGTACTACAAGTTATGGGTCCATTACTCTAGTCATTGAACCTGGTTCTGTGCAATGCAAAGCCACATTCTGAAACATGAACAGTGGATGGAGAGGGTCCTTCCTGAGAGGAAATTGCCTTCTCTTGGAATGTACGTAGCTGCGTCTGCGCTCCCGCTTTTCACCTCTCCTTGTCAAAGGGGGTGGGGATGCTCGCATCGGGTTGGGGCTTTGCCTACTGCCCACCTTAGGTGTAAACTCTCTGCTGTGGATATGACGCTCCCTTCTGCATATAAATGGCAATAGCAGAAATTATTGGACTCTGAAAGAAGCAAATCTGCACCCAGGTCTCATTTAGTCTCTCGATCTTTTAACCGAAGAGGCCGAGGTGTAGATCTCCCTGGTGGCTTTTTCCTTTAAGGCTTCTGTTTGAATATTGCTAGTGTCAGAACCTCCTCCCATCTTGCTTTCGACCACAGGGCAGGTTGCTTTAAAAGACTTTCGCTGACAAATGTTTAAAAAAAGCAAAACCCTGCCCAACATTTGAGCAATTTTTGTTCTTCTGGCTTTATGCAGTTTGATGCGATTCTGGCTTTTGTAGATAGTATGAATGTAACTCATCGTGGAACATGCCTGTCTCCAGAAGTAGGAGACGTTTCTATTGTATCATGTCTCCTCAAACAGGGCTGGGAATATCTAGACTATCTCGATGAATGTATCAAAAGCTCATTGTGTTCACATTCTGCTTTTTGCCAGCTTTGTGATTTGTAAATAGGAAATCAATAAAGACAGTGAGGTGGTCTTTAATCCAAAGTTTCTTCATGCTTGGAAGAGAGCAGATGGCAAAACAGCCCGTGACAACTTACAGGATTCTTGAATCGCTGTGGGAAGAGGCTGGAGCTATTTGGTACTGGCAGGGTCCTTAATTTGTCTTCCCTGGATGCTTTCAACTGCTGTGTAAATTAGTGTATTTTCCTTTGTTTCCCTTGAGATTAGTCGTGTGAGATTCTACCTCGAAGAGGAAAGTGCCTAGTGAAAGATGGCGGATGCTGCAGGGAGGTGATGTTCTTAGAAATAAATATACGAGCAAAGCCACATGTTGAGAGGGCCTAGTGGGATGCACCAGTCCTGGAGGGGGCCTGGCTGTAGGCCTTACCTACTCAGCACCTGGCAGCAGTCAAAGGCCGCCTGATTTCCCCATCTCCTGAAGCCTCTGGTGTAGCAGTTGGCTTAGAATGCAGCAGGGCCTGTCTCCCTGCATGATTCCTCCAGCCTGCGGCACTCTCAGAATTCAGTCAAACACCCTCCCAGCAGGGCCCTCTCAGAGCTGCCCCCGTGTTTTATGCCCGTCTCCAGCCGTCACTCACTCTGGGCTGGTTCAGAGTCAGGTGCCAACCTTCCCTGCCAGCTGCATAAGCAACTCAAGTGGGCCTGGGCTACACCTGTTGTTGGGATGTGAGTCCTGCAGGGTCGGGACCGAATTGGCAATCAGCATCCACAAGAGCCGCACTGTGAGCACATTGTGGCTACGTCTAGACTACGTCCCTGTCTTGTAAAAGGGATGCAAATTAGACGTATCGCAACTGCTAATGAAGCAGGGATTTAAATTTCCCCCGCTTCATTAGCATAAAAATGCTGCTGCTTTTTTTCGGCACGGAACTTTGCTGGAAAAAAGCTCCAGTCTAGACGCGGATCTTTCGGAAAATAAAGCCTTTGCCGAAAGATCCCTTATTTTCTGAAAGATCCACGTCTAGACTGGAGCTTTTTCTGGCAAAGCTCCGTGCTGAAAAAAAGCAGCAGCATTTTTATGCTAATGAAGTGGGGGAAATTTAAATCCCTGCTTCATAACAGTTGCCATGTCTAATTTGCATCCCTTTTTCATAAAAGGGATGCAACTGTGACGTAGCCAGAGTGGGCGTGTACCCCCCAGTTAACAAGTTGCTAAGTGGTTAAATCATGAGTCATTAGCTTCACCCTCACAGCAGGGACCAGCCTGGGCTTCATTACAGGCCAGCAATTGCTCTGTTGAAAGCTGGCAGGTAGCAGCATCTCTGACAACTGACCTTTGCTCTAGCAAGGTGAGACCACAGCCTGCCCCGTCTCGCATACCTGCTGCCTGGAGCACCTCCTGGGGCTGTTCTTTAACTGGCTTCCCCCTGTTTGGGTGTGGGCCACCGCCCAGCCTACGCTATACTAAGGCTTTCCTTGAGCAGCAGCATCCTCATCACCCTGCAACCAGCCCTTGGGTCTGTTCAGTGAGGAGAATGTGAAGCAGGTGCCATAGGGGTAGCAGCTCCCCTGTGATCCAGGTGGAAGCCGCATTCCAGCCATGCAATGTCTGAGCCAGGCAAGCGCCCACCCCCTCGTTGCACCTGGAGGAGGAAGTTTGTGTGAAAGCTTCTGAGTTTGTGACAAGTCAGCACCTCGAGTGCCCCCCAGTCCCTCTAGCTCCCGCCCAGGGGAGCCAGGCTCCGAGCAGCATGAGCTCTGAACTACTTAGCACCTCTTGGTCCACCTGGGACCGGGTTCCAGCTGAGGCCATGAGCCCAAAACCCCCAGGCTGGAGGGTTACACAGTGTTGTGAGCAGTTAACAGCCCCCCTCAAGCTGCCCCTTCTCCCCTCCCCCCCACACAATAAATCCTGATGGAAACTGGGGGGGAAGTTGGATTTTTTTAATTTTTATTTTTTTAAAAAAGCCCCTAAGTTCTATGGCTTCAAGGAAGCATCAGAGAAATGTCAATCCCAGTTCTGTACACGTGTTTTTAAAGCCATAACTAAACTCGCAAGGGAACAACCCCCCTTCTGCTTTGGAACTACACAGGTACGGACTCGGTTCTGTAACGGGACCAGTGTCGTGCTGCCGGACCCGGGCCTGAGCCCTGCACCTGACAGGAACCGAGATTCTCAAGACAGACTTGGGCAAACTCCCTTGGCTTTCCCTTTTTATTTCCCCTTGAGCCTGCGGTAGGCGCGTCGGGCAGCTGTGGCGAAGGGCAGGCCAATCACGCACATGCACCCGCTCCCAGACGTGTTTATTTTACACCCTCTGGGCTGG